AATGCCGAGGATATCAATCTTTATGCGTTCCATTTCCTTTTTGACAACTTCCAATTTTCCTAGATTCATACTTTGTACATTCCATGTTCCGATGATTAATGGATGTCTGCGGCTGTTTCTCTTCAATTTGAGTGGTGCCACATCAGCAAATGAAGGTCTCAAAAGCTTTCTCTTTTCCATGAGTAAGATGCAGATAGCTCTCTGCAATACCTGGGCCCAAGTCCTGGGTCAAAGAAAAAGAGACTGGAGCCCAAGAAATACAGTGATTTGCTCAAGAAAGAAAGAGTGAGGATGGGAAGTCTTAAGTTCAGGACTCCTGGATCTGGTCCATGGTTTTTGCCCAAGTTCTCTATTCCATATGGAGCTTCAGGTTTTTTTTTTTTTTTTTTAATCCACAGCACTGATGTTCTAACACAGTGGTTGGCAAACTTCTTCTGTAAATGGCCAGATGGTAAATATTTTAGGATTTGAGGGCCATGTGGTCTCTGTTGCAAGTATTCAACTGTGCCATTAGAGCAAGAAAGCAGCCATACACAACATGTAAACAAATGGCGGTGGCTGGGTTCCAATAAAACTTTATTTATAAAGTCGGTTGGCAGCCTGGATTTGGCCTGCGGGCTGCAATCTGCCACTTCCTATTCTAACAGAGTGAGACAGTGGTGTTTTAATGGTAGAATTCTCGCCTTCTATGCAGGACACCCAGGTTCAATTCCCAGCCAATGCGCCTCATGTGCTGCTGCCACCTGTCTGTCAGTGAAGGCTTGTGCATTGCTGTGATGTTGAGTTTTCAGTGGTGCTTCCAGACTAAGAAAGACTAGGAAGAAAGACCTGGAAATCTATTTCTGATAATCAATCAGTGAAAATCCTGCGTGTCACAGTAGTCTAATCTGCAATCAGTCGTGGGACTGGCACATAACCCAGTGTTTTGTTCTGCTGTGCATGGGCTCACCATGAGGTGGCAGCAACTCAGAGGCAGCTTACAACAGTCTAACAGAAGACTTAGTTTATTTATTTATTTTTGTGTCTAATTTTGTAGCACAGGTGCATATGTAAGCTTCTCTTCTAAAAGAAGACTTTAATGCTTTTCATGGTGGTAATTGATAGAAGGGAGCTCTAGTAGCATAGTGCCTAACACATTTGACTGCTAAGCAGAGGGTTAGCGGTTCAAACTCACCAGCCACTCCACGGAAGGTAGGTTGGGCAATCTACTTCCATAGTGATACTGCCTCAGAAACCCAAGGAGGGGTTGCTATGAGTTGGATTCGATTCAACAGCAGTGAGTTTGAGAATTGATAGAAAGGACTAATGGTGGTAACTCCAGGCAACAAGTCAGGTTCAGAGACATAGACTTCAAATGCAGAGTGGGGAAAACTTTTCTGATGCTTTCTTAAATCACACAGCATTAGCTACAATGTCAAGATGCTTCTATCAAGTCTTCCCTTTCCTGATAAGGTATACTGTAGGGTTAAGAGCAAGACGCAAGTCTCAGAGACTTGGGTTCAGATCTTGGCTCTACTGGTAATCAACTCTGTGATCTTGCTTCATATCTCTGTGTCTCCTTGTCTTCATCTGTAATTTGAGGATGGTAGTACAGCTAGCCCCCAATTTACAATGGGGTTCTGTGCTGACAACTCTGTCATATGTAAGCTGGTTCTGAAATAAATGCAATACATTTTACTTTTTTAGTTTTCATTATTATTGCCTTTTATTATCAGTGTCTTTATAAATCTGATCTTTGAATACTTGCAAGAATAACATCAGATACTTACACTCTGCAACACTGTACGTAGTATATATTGTTTCAAAGGCCCTTGGTACTAAGCCACCAGAGGTCCTAATGATAAAATGTACAAAAAGAAAAACCAGTTTTTACAGTTTGATGTAACTCGGGTATGTTGTAAGTCAGGGACTACCTCTACCTACCTTTCAGGGATGTTGAGAGGATTACATTTATTAAGTGCTAGGCACACTGATGGCACATAGTTACCAGCTACCAGTTGCTATTGAGTCTGTTCCAACTCATGGCAATCCCATGTGTGTCAGAGTAGAATTGTGCTCCATGGGGTTTCCAGTGGCTGATTTTTCAGAAATGGATCATCAGGACTTTCTTCCAAGCACCTCTAAGTGGGCCCAAACTGCCAACCTTTTGGTTAATAGTTAAGCACTTAATAACTGTTTGCACCACTCAGGGACTCCTGGCACATAGTAGGTACTCACTGAATCTCAGCAGTTACGATCATTATCACCAGTGGGAGTGTGTGTGTGTGTGTGTCTGTCTGGCTGGCTGGGTGGCAGTATTTGGCTGGCCTCCCCTGCAGACTCATGATGGTAATCCCCGCAGCTCCGCAGGCATCCGGGAGGCTGAGCGCTTCAGAACACCGCCAGGGAGGGCCTCCAGCATCACTCGGGCTGGGAAGGAGGAGAACTGCAGTGCCATTAAGTACAAGGCTGGCCGGGTAAGTCACTCAGTCACTCACTTGTCTCTTTTGTCCTCTGGACCCAAGTTGACCTCTTCCTGCTGCACCTCTAGGACTCCTGTATTGGCCTGTGGAGGTTGAAGGATGGTCCAGGTCACAGGTGCACCTAGGAGAGAGATCCTGGCAGCCACCTTCAAGGACTCTGCAGGATGCTTACGGCACAGTGCAAAGGTTTCCACAAGGCTTAACATAGTGTATCTAAAAGTTCAGGTCTCACTTGCCTGCATCAGAACCACTTGAGGGGGGTATGGCTTAAGATGGAGATTCTGAGCCCCCCTACACTTGAAGCTGAAGGTCTCTGGGGTGAAGTGGAAGCCTGCATACAACCTGTCCAGAGGGCGCCAACGTGCCCCAAACTCTGAGAACCACCTGCTTTCTGTTTTGAACCCCAACAGTAAGAGATGCGTTTCTGCTGATTCCAACAAAACAGTATGAAAAGAGGTGCAGTTTGAGTCTGACTATAACCCAACTTCCTAAATGGAAGTGGGAAGACAGGGGTGGCAGACTGGGTAACCCAAAAGTTCTTCTAACGTTCAGCAAACACTGCTTAGTTTCTGACTGTGTCCAGGCACCATCCTCAGAATGGGGCATGAGTATGCATCGGTCACCACCCCTACCACCAGTGCTCTCAGGTTGGGCATTGTCACCCTCAAAGGGGTGAAAACTTTTCTGGGAGTGGGCAAAACACTTACTCTTTTCATATATAAAGCCTAGATATATGTGTGGTACATAAACAGATACACAGCAAATCTGTGGTATTAAAATTTCATGGTGAGGTGTGATTAGGAAATAGAAATCCCTGAACAGCCTCGTTTACCAGTTGCCAGAGAGTCAATTCCGACTCATGGTGGCCCCATGCCATCAGAGTAGAACTGCACTGCACAGAGATTTCAGGTGGCTGAGTTATGGGAAGAAGATGGCCAGGACTTTCTTCCGAGGCCCCTCTGGATGGACTCAAACCACCAACCTTTTGGTTAGCAGCCAAGTGTGTTTATACCATTCCAGTATTTACACCATCCAGGGACTCCTCACCCTAACCCCTCCAAAAAATTTCCTTAGGGAACAATTGAAAAAAAAAAAAATTGAGAAAAACTGGTCTAGAAAGAAAGGTAGCAAAGTAAATGAGTAATATCAAAACACTAGCATGGCTATGATAGTAGAGATACATTCAAAATGGGAGATAAATATTTATTGAGGACCTACTGTGTGTAATAATTATCACTGCTTTTCATGAAGTGCCTGCTCTGTGCCAGCCCTATGTTTTGTGCTTTACAGATCTGATTTCTACTCTCTGTAACAGCTCTGGGAGGTAGGAATTACTATAGGCATGCCTCTTTTTATTGCGCTTCTCTTTATTGCGCTTTGCAGATGTTGCATCTTTTTATAAATTGAAGGTTCATGGCAACCCTGCGTCAAGCTAGTTTATTGGCACCATTTTTCCAACATCATGTGCTCACTTCATGTCTCTGTGTCATGTTTTGGTAGTTCTCACAATATTTCAAACTTTTTCATAATGCTATTGCACACTTAATAGACTACAGTATAATGTAAACATAACTTTTATATGCACTGGGAAACCAAAAAGTATGTATGACTCACTTTATTGTGATCCTCATTTTATTGCTGTGGACTGGAACAAAACTGCAATATCTCCGAGGTATGCTTGTATTTCCATTTTGTAGCTGAGAAAACTGAGGCTCAGAGAGACAAGGTGACTTGTCCTAGGTCACACAGCTAGGACATGGCACAGCAGGGATCCACACCCAGGCCTGTGAGTCTCCAAACCCACCCTCTTTCTGCCACACCAGGCAGCACTAGAATGTGGTTCTTTTTAATTTGGGAATGAGCTGGATCGCATGCCCGTGTTCAGACATTCTCTCACCTCCTCCTTTATGCCTGTTCTCAACTCTCCTTTCCTCCAAGGAGGAAAGGGGAGACTTTCAAGGATAATGAGACTGACTATATTTGTCATTAGAGTCCCTGGGTGGCATAAATGGTTAAGCGCTCGGCTACTAACTGAGAGGTTGGTAGTTTGAATTCGCCCAGAGGCACCTTGGAAGAAAGGCCTGGCCATCTACTTCTGAAAGATCACAGCCATGACAACCCTATGGAGCACAGTTCTACTCTGAAACCTAAGGTCACCATGAGTTAGAATCAACTCAACAGCAACTGGCGAATATCTGGTACCTCCCAGTTGAGAATGCAAAGCTCTCTCCTGATGTTAACTCATAAAATCTTCTCATTATCCCTGAACAGTGGAGTATTATTACTGATAGGAGCACCCACCCACGGCCACTGAATCGATTCTGACTCACAGAGACCTTACAGGACAGATTAGAACTTCTCGATAGAGTTTCCAAGGCTGCAAATCTTTATGAAGCAGACTGTCTCATCTTTCTCCTGCAGAGCGGCTGGTAGGTTCAAACTGCCGATCTTAGGGTCAGCAGCCCAATACTTTAACCACAGAGCCACCAGGACTCCTTGATAGGAGCACAGAGAGATTAGATGAGTTACCTAAGGCCACATAGCAACTTAGGGTAGAATTAGAGATCCCATGTTTCCCAAATCAGAAAAACTACCATTGTTTCTCTTCTTCCCCTCCTTTGATTTTATTCTTCTCTTCCCAGCTGCCCCTGGGGAAGATAGGAAGGGGCTTCACCAGCAAAGACCTCGATTTTCACGATGACTATGGCTCTCTCCAAAATGAAGACTGTGGAGACGATGACCTCCAGGGCAGGCCAGAGCAGTGCTGTCTGGAAGGCTACAACAGCCTGGAGGTCACCAATGTATAAGGACCAATGGCCCCACTAGACCCAACACTGAGAGGTCCAAGGAGGAAGGACACCAGCTGACCTCAGATGCCATCACCACTGTACATAGTGACCTTGGGCAGCAGTCCCTTCCTCCAGGCTGATGATGCTCCTCGACTCTTGGGCAAAATCCTGACAGATGACTGCAATTGCAGTGAAGAGCACCAGGAAGAGACATGAGACCAGCCCACCTGTTTTCAATGCTACATGGACTGTCCTGCACCATGGAAGGAGACCGGACCTCTCAGAGTGCCCGGCCTCTTCTTCATCCAGTACGTGCAGACTGTCTGTCAGCCACTGAGCAATCTATATGGCCCCTTGTCCTTGCATTGAACTGCCAAGATGGAAAGAGGTCCACAATTTTCCAAAACACCCACCCAGGAGGAGCAGGGAGCTCTCCAACCAGATACACCAAAGCCCAGTGCTGACAGTACCAGGAGCAAGCAAAGTGGAGGCTGACCAGTCAACAGAGGCATCCTTCTGGCTGGTTGGGTGGCAGGAAGTGTTGCTCTTGCTGAGATGTCAGACTGAGGGAGGGCTCAGCTCTAGCATCTCTGCCCCCCATGACTGACAACTTGGTTCCCAACTTGGGTCACTGCATCTTTCTTGGGAGGATGCTGGTCATTTCCCTCCACTCTAAAAGCCCTACTGCACATAGGAAGGCATGTTGAAGAGCTGTTTGATCCTTTGGGCTACAGGAGTGGCTACACTACATGGGACCAGGTGACTGATCCTTGCAAGGATGATGCTTAACATCAAACTTTCCAGGAAGTGTAGCTATTTAGTCATCAGGACAAAGGATATTGTAAGGACCCTTAAAGACTGGAGATGATTGAGATTGGTTATTGTCAGCTGCATCAAGCGTGGCAATTGGTTTGGGATTTGGGGTGGGGAAATGTGTGCCAATGTGAAACAAACTCATGCTGTGATGTCTCTGTCACCTGAAACATAGATTGTGGTTATCAGTACCGTCAGTGAGGCACAAATCCCACAAAGCAAAGTTGTTAAGGTGGTGGTGAAGAGAACTTCAAGTTCTTTTCTTGACTCTGCCACTGTTTGTGCTGTGTGGCTTCTTCCCAGTGGCTTCACCTCTCTGTGCCTCAATGTCTTCATCTATAATACTTCTGATTCCTTCCCTCCCCCACAAGGATGTTGGGAGGATTAACACTTGCTAATGTCTGTAACACACTTTGTAACCTCTCAGGAGACAGGTGGGAAGTTATGGGGTGGAAATAAGGTATGTCTGATTTCCTGTTTCCAAACACAGAGCTCATGTTGAACTACTTCTAACCAGCTGTCTTGGTTGGAGCAATGTGCAAAAGGAGGACATAGAATGTTTAATGTTCAGCCTCTCCAAGATCCCCCCAGCTTCTCTCAACAAAAAATAAAAAGGGAAAAGGGGGGTCTCCCACGTGCACAAGCCTGGAAAACCAATTGACTCAGGTTTTCAGGCTTGACTTCGTTGATCAGATGACTTTGCTGAGTGATGGTCAGGGAAGAACACAATGCATCTGGCTTCTACTTGCACATCGGTTATCAGAGCAAACCACCTCTTGAACCAAGATGCTTGGCTTCAGTCAAAGCCATTTGCATCAGGAGTCAATGAAAAGTTTGGATTTCCAAAATTTGCAGCAGGTCCCAGCCTCCACAAACTGTCACAGCACCTGTTCTTCAATCCAACAAATTATTTTCCTCTATGGGAAATCCATAAACCAAGTCTTAATTAACAAACTTGCAAATTAGTCCTCTCTAATGCTGAAGACCACAGTGTTGACCCTAACCTTAACATAAGCACAGCCTTTCTTACTACTGAGCCAGATGCCTAGTTGGTGAGTGGGTGTCTGTCCCCTTTGCGACAGAATGTTGGACCTCCAGCATTCTATTTCTGATTCCAGGCCCCAAGCAGCCAACCTCTGGTCTGGGGCTTAGCTTTGCTTAGGTTTCAAACCCTGGGATCTTCAAGCCCTTCAGCCACACACAGAGGGCCCTGAAGTTGCAGAGCCCACAGCTCAAAGACAACAGGTAAAAACTCCCTCTCATCTGATTCCACAGGTCACTCCTGAATCTGCCTTCAGAGGGCAGGTAGCAAAGGCAGGGTGCCCAGGCAGACATGAGCATGGTTGGCAGAGGGGCCTGAATGTAGATCTGGTTATGTGAAAGCACCTCTCACTCAAGTCATCAGAAATGAAGCCTGACTCAATCCTTTTGGGAAGAAGATGGGAAAGTTGACAATTGAAGGATCCCTGGGACAAATGGTATTCTGCCCCCCCAAATTTGCAGTAATAGACCTAAAGGCCTGGGGTAACATGGGCAACCTCAATGCAGGTTATGCTATGAAAACACCTGCTCTCATGAGGGCCGCTCCCCATACCTGGGCAGCCTGGCAAGCATTTGGAGCTGGTTTCTCAACAAGAGGATGGTCTGGTAAATTACACGAATCTTCATGGAGTCCAATCAGGTGAGCTTTGTTGTCTGGAATGATCTTAAATGTCAACGCTGCTTCAGGGGTGGGCAAGAGGAGCAGGGCAGGAAGAAGACTTGGCATAGACATCTTGGTGGTCGATGGGCAAGGGCAAGCAGGGTGGCCACCTACAGGACCCTGACCTGCCATGTCCTGTCCAAACAGCCCCAGTCATGGTCCTGGTCCTCAAAGGGTGATGTGATATCTGGGCCGGGGGAAAATACAAATGTGTTTCTCTGTAAGATATTGTCACCTGTGCCCATAGGTGCTAGTCCTTTGAAAAGGGGGAGTCAGTGCCAGGAGTTGGGGAGAATCAGGGACCAAAGAAGCAATGGCCATCGAGTTGATTCCAACTCATGGCAACCTCATGTGTGTCAGAGCAGCACTCTGCTCCCTAGGGTTGTCAAATGCTGGTTTTTCAGAAGTAGATCCCTAGGCCTTTCTTCTGAAGGACTCTGGATGGATTTGAACCTCTAACCTTCCAGCTAGCAGCTAAGCAGTTAACTGTTTGCCCCACCCAGGGACAGATATCCCACATTCCTCCCAGAAGTCTTAGGCCAGAGCCAATGGAAATCACCTGCCTAGCAAACTCTCAGCTTTTAAAAGGCCCTGTTGTTCTTGGCTGAGCTGTGCCTTTCTCCCAGAAGTCTATCTGTCTGTCTGTCAGCATCACTGTTATAAGATCATAGGCTATAAGAAGCAGGAATAAACACAGGAAGCCCTAGGCGAGATGACACAGGGGGAGAGAGCCTCTCACACAGCCCAGCTAGCATGGAGGCACCTCTGCACAGCAGCCCCAAATCTCGGGGCCACTGACTAGGGCTGGGTCTTGGCAGAATGTAAGAAGCACTGAGACCCTCCCCTGCCCACCTGGGAAGAACTCCCATGCTTCAGGCCCAGCCCTTCTCTTCCCATCAAAACCCTCATGTTCTATGGGCTGTGACTTTTTCTCTGCTTCTGAGGTTCCCCAGGCTCCTGGGTGCAGGGTGGCAGGGAATAGAAACCTCGTGGAAAATGGCAACTTCTGAACCTACTACTATTACCTGTGGTTGGTGGGTGGGGAGACCTCCCTGAGCCCTAATGCACAAGGGGAGTTTGTGGCTGCAAAGGAAACAAGTTGCCCAGGAATGAAGATAATGCTCCTGACCTTTAGCTGCTAGTCCTGGACTCGAAATGTCTTCCCAAGGGTGGAATTTTAACACTGTAACAATAAATACTACTGTCCAGCACTTTGTTGACGAGTGGCCTTTTTCTGTATGTTCTCTCATTTGATTTTCCCAACAGCCTCTGTAAGAGGAAAATTATTAACCCATTTCATAGATGGAGATGCTGAGGTTGGAAAGGCTGAGGGGCTTGCTCAGTCCCATAAAGCGAAGAAGTCACAAAGCAGTGATACAGACCCAGTCAATCTTCCTCCAAGTCCCAGGCTCATTGAATGAAAAACACATTTGCTATGTTAATTTTCACCCCAATCACAAATTATATATAGAAAGAAAGAAGTTCCAAAAGGACAAATACTGTATGATCTCACTTATATGAAATAAGCAAACATACATAAACCAAAGATTATTAGTGGTTACCAGGGGTGTGAGGGAGGGGAATGGGTAATTTTCCCTTAGGGGGAATTCAGGTTATGTCAGTGATAGTGGAATGATGGGGAAGAGGATAGGAGATGGTTTCGCAATGTGAAGAATGCAATCAGTGTTGGTTACATGGACATGCAGAGAGTGTTGAAGTGGCGTATGTTTTGTTATGCATATTTTCACAATAAAAACAAACAACACACACACACACACACACACACACACACACACGGAAACCCAAATCCCAGGCTCATCCCTCCCACAGAGCACTCTCACCCCCACCCCCTGCAATGTTGGTGATCTTCTTCCCATCTCTGCCTCCTACACCCACCTTCCAGCGTGGAACTTACCATGTGGCATCACTCAAATGGTGTTCAGGTGATCTACATCCTACTGGGCTGTCTGGGGCTGCTCTCCCCATTAGGGTACTGCCATCTATCCTGGGACTCTCTGGCTAGAGGGGAACAACTGACTAGTTACCCCTCCTTTAGTGTCATTTGCTTTGCTGTGCTCCCCCTCCCATGGTGGTATAGTCACAGAGCTCCTAGCACAGTGCTTCTCAGACTTTAATGTGCACAGGAATCATCAGGGGGTGGGGTATTTTATTAGTAATAGTAGTATTGTGAATGTTTACAGAACAAATTCATTTTCCATACAACAGTTCATACACATTTTGTTTCATGACATTGATTGCAATCCCCACAATGCAGCAGCCTTCCTCCCACTTCCTCCCTGCAGCTGGCTTTTCCCTGTGTCCTTCTTTCCCATGCATTCCTACCCTCTGAGTTATTTCCTTGTGCAGAAACCTCCCTTCTGGTCTCCCAGAGTTGATAGTCCTAAGGAGTGTACCTGTCTGTGTAATTATTCATCTTGTAGCCCTGCCTATTGTTTGGCTGGAAGCGATGGGAGTGAGTTCAATTTTAGGCCCGAAAGGTGAGTAGGGGCCATAGGCTCAGGAGTTTCACCAATCTCTATCAGACCAGAAAGCCTGATTTTAAGTTTTG